CAGTGTTATCCACATCCCACGAGTGACTAAAAAATTGGGACAATATTTACCTGCTCTGTCGATTTTTTTTCCCCATCAGAGGGTAGTCAGTAGGCTTTTCAGAGGCTGTGCTCCTTTCAATAAAATAGTATTTCTCATTTGGTATACTTCTCTCACAGTATAGGACTATAAGCGCAGGTCTTCCCCTCTAACTCTGGTACCTTCGATAACCTCAGGCATATTTTTCAACATACTATGTTCAAATCTTCCTGCTGAAATTACAGGAATAGAGAAAGATACAGGAATAGTTTTGCTGATGCCCCAGATATTCCAATTTTACAACCTGTATGGCCTATTCAAGATTACTGAATAATTTTTAAATGAGTAAATCCTCAAAATTCTTGTGAGTAGGCTTCGTACAATATTGATGCAATAAATGATTCTCTACTGGTACACTGCCACTGTAAACGCGAGCCTTGTATCTCACGTATAATGATTCTCTGATAGCTCACTGAGCTAGTTGAGCCATACGTAGCCAGGGACATTCCAGGTTTAATTTCTGGCCTTTGACGCGAGACCAATACGATGATGGCAAATCCACAAATTCTGCAAGGAGTGTTGATCATGGGATGTCAGATAAATCTTTAGCCCTCTTCCTATAATTATAAATAGGATTAGGTAATTACCCACAGTTCTACATGGTCCATAGCATTAAAGTAGAACAAAGAACTGTGGATGCTGGAAATCTGCCACAAAAATAGAAATGGTAAAAGTAGAAATTGCTGGCAAAACTCAGCAGGTGTGGCAGGATCTTGGCCAGGTCGTTGAGTACATTTAAGACTGAGATAGATAGGTTCTTAATTGTCAAGGGGATCAAGGGTTACGGGGAGAAAGCGGGAGAGTGGGGTTGAGGAACTTATCAGCCATGATTAAAAGTCGGAGCAGACTTGATGGGTCGAATGGCCTAATTTCTGCTCCTATGTCTTATGGTCTTATGATCTGTGGAGAAAAAGTTAACATTTCAAGTTCAATGACCCTTCAAAATGGGGTTCAGTCAAACCATTCAGTTTAATGTATTTAGGTATGAGTCAGCTGTGCCTGCTGTACTTGCGAGATAATCATGCATGATTATTAGCTCGATTACATCTATCGTATCAGAGCAGCAGATTCTGGAACATCCTGTGCTTTCTCATTTTGCCTTCCAAATAATTATTTGACCAAAGTATCTTCATTTCAGAAAACAATCTGTGCAGAGTTTTCTTTTTCTTTTTCTCCTGAAGGGTGTGTATGTTTGCATGGGTGTTTTGAGACTATTTATAGTGATAAGCATTTGTTTTCTGCATTGCTGATAGTCGATGAAAACAATAGATTAGAATAGTTAGGTTGTTGTTTTTGACTGGCACAGACACAATGGGCCTTTTTTCTGTGCCATAGATCTCTGTGACTCTGTACAACCAATGTTTGCATTTATCATTATTGAATATATTTTGTTTTTATTATAATTGTGTTTAATTAGAAGCCCGGTTGATAGACATTTTTGTTTAAAATTTAATGAGGCATTTTGTTGGTCATCTTCGTAACATTAAATGCTATTTTTATTTTATGTTCTAGCCTGTGGAGTGGTGAGACTATAGTGTCAATGCATCCTTTCAGCCCCTATCATAATAATTTGGCCTTCTATACCCTTTCAAGTAGATGTGACAGATCTCATGGGATTATCTGAAGAACAGCAGTCAGCATCTACCTACAGTTCTGGCTATTACAATCCCTAACTCACCATGACTAAAAGCATGAATAGATGATGTGTCTTATTGCAGTTTGTGAGACTTGTTGTGCACAAATTGGTTACAGCTTTTTCTGTATTACAATGACCATATTCAAAAATTGCTTCGGTTACAAAGCATGTGGACATGTCTGAGTCATGAAAGGCACTAAATAAATGCAAATTCTTTCTTCTGGTAAATAATATTTATTAAAGAAATACTCAAATTCTATTTGTACAACAATATCAAATATTAAACACTCCTTGTCTGCAAGACTTTTTTTTTTACTCTCTTGTAGGACATGGATGTCAAAGGATGGCCTACATTTATTGCCTGTCCCTAGTTGCCCTTGAGAAGATGGCGATGAGCTGCCTTCTTGAACAACTGCAGACCACGTGCTGTAGGTAGACCCACAATTCCATTAGGGGGAAAGTTCCAGGATTTTGACCCAATAACGCTAAAGGTACTCTCTTTCCAAGTCAAGACAGTGAGTGGCTTGGAAGGGAAATTGCAAATGGTAGTGCTTCCACATATCTAGTGTCCTTCTCCTCTAGAGAGTAGTGGTTGTGAGTTTGGAAAGTGTTGTCTAAGGATCTTTGCTGAATTCTTGCAGTGCATTATGTTATAGTCTATTATTAAGGATAGAATAATAATGCATTTCGAAGTTCATAATTTAATAAAAAAAAGATATGGCTTCATGAAGAGGCAACCATTACTGATAAGCAAGATACATAATAGACAACCGGTAGATGTAAAATATTTGTATTCCCAAAAGGCATTCAATAAGGTACTGCACACAATGTTACCTAATAAAATAACAGCCCACGATGTTGGGGGTAGTATATTAGCATGGATAGAGAATTGGCTATCTAATAGAAATCAGAGAGTTGGGATAAGGGTGCATTTTCATTTCAGGATGGCAGTATCAATACGGACAGAGTGATTACAGATTGATAATTTGCTAAATGTTGTATTTTAAATTATTTAAATCACCTGGTTTAAGACGTTAGAGCCTGAAAAATTGAAGCACGTTCATGGTATAGCTGTTTATGTCATTTCTACATATTTTGTTCAAATGTTTACTGTGGTTTTGATTTCTAGTTCAATACTTAACTTGTTTAAACAGTTGTTTCCTTACGACCCAGTCAGGTTTCCATGCCACAGTAGGCACCCATTCAATGTAAATTATACATTGAAATAGTTATCGCCTATATAGTCAAGTCTGTCTTTGGATATTGCTAAGTCACAGGAGACAGATGGAAGCCTCTTGAAAAGCAATATGATGCTGGAAATCTAAAATAAAAAAGGAAAATGCTTGAACTAAAGAGGAGGATTGGCAGTATCTGTGCAGAGAGAAAACAGGTAACATTTCAGGTTGTAACCTTTCATCAAAAGCCTTCAGTAAACACATTGTTTGTGCATGCAGAAGCCAAAACTTGGTATATTTATTCAGTAATAATATTTTTCTTATGCCAGTTTACAAAATACCCAATTTTATTAAATTCAGTTTCACAAATTATACCATTAAATGTAGGGCCTTAGGTGGTGTTATAGAGCAGAGGCACCTACGGGTTCAGGTACATAATTCGTTGAAGTTTGAACACAAGTAGATGAGGTGGTTATGAAGGCATTTAGCACACTTGCCTTCATTGCTCAGATCTTTTGAGGATAGGAGTTGGGACGTCATATTGAGGTTGTGCAGGATGTTGGTGAGGCCTCTTACAGAGTTCCATGCCCACTTCTGGTCGTCCTGTTACAGGAAGGATGTTATTAAGCTCTATAGGGTTCAGAAGAGATTTACCAAGATGTTGCTAGGAATGCAAGGTTTGAGTCATAAGGGGAGGCTGGATAGATTGGCACTTGGTTTACTAGAGCATAGGAAATTAAAGGGTTACCTTATAGAGATTTATAAAATTATTAGGGGTATAGATAAAGTGAATGGCAAGTGTCTTTTCCCTAAAGTGGGGGATTTCAAGATTAGGCGACATTTTTTAAGGTGAGAGGAGAAAGATTCAACAAAGATGAGGCACAACTTTTTTACACAGAGTGGTTCATGTGTCCAATCAACTTCTGGAGGAAGTGATGGATGCGGGTACAATTACAATGTTTAAAGAACATTTGGATAAGTACATGAATAAGAAATATTTGGAAGGATATGGACCAAGAGCAGGCAGGTGGGACTAGTTTAGTTTGGGATTATGATGGGTGTGGACTGGTTGGACTGAAGGCCTGTTTCCCTGCTGTATGACTCTATAACTTGCCATAATGAAATCTGAATTCGGAATCACTGTGTTACCAATACAGCATTACAAACGCGCTATCCTTGAAACATCTCATCTCAACCATTTCTGGTTTCTATATTTCTCAACGGCAGACACGACTGCTTGTACACCATATAGCGGTTAACAGAAAATGCACTTCATCATAGAAGTATTTCATTGGCTGACTCACTAAAAAATGCAGGGTTTAAAATCTCATATATCGACTCTGGTGCCGAAGTCTTAGGTACTGCGTTTCTTTGAGATTACCATAAACTTAAAACATTGTAATGGTGCGTAATACAACGAAAATATGTTGAATATACGCGAGAAAGAGGCATGCGTGTGTGTGGGAGCAGGTAGATGTACGGCCTCTTACACTTTGATATTCAGGTCATCGTCTTGTGTACTGTCAACAGTATGCAAATGAGATCTGAACTGAACTGAACAATTCTATTTATGATGGACCAAAAATGCAAGTTCATTTCATATCGACATTTGGGAAAACCCGAATCAAATTTCCAATTTACTCAAGTGTGTGTCTTTTTTTTAGGTGCTAGGTGCACTAATATTTCGCACGTTTCTATATCGCGCTCTTAATCCAAGTGGTGCATTTGAAGTTTTATTCGTTTTACAGAAACTTGCTGTTAAGATAACTAAACGCTGAAAGACGCTTTATGAGAACACTACCAAGCAAAAACAAAACATAATACTGGGTCAGTAAAGGAGACGTGAAAGTTGATGACCAAATACTTGATCAAAGGTTGTTTGAAGGAAAGAGCTTGTCCAGTAATCTTATGGAAATTAACGAGATGAATATTCAGAAGGATGTTCATTCTCAACTATTAAAGAACCGGGGAGTTTAATAAACAAGTGAAAGGGGTTCTTTCTGTTGGGATGAGAAAGATGTATTGTGAATGTGGGAGGTGTCCCTAGGGAGCTGTCACTCAGAGTTCAGGGAAGGTGTGTCCTGCACGGGGCTCAGTTCAGACACGCCTATGAGTTGCAAGTTAAACACTCTGCGCCCTTTTGCTTCTAGTTCCGAGACAACAAGGTGCAGGGCTGGATGAACACAGCAGGCCAAGCAGCATCATAGGAGCAGAGAGGCTGACGTCTAGTTCCTGCTTGTTTACTCGGCGTGTTTCGAGCTCGCCTCCAACCGGGCGAGTCTCTGGGTAGGAGCTGTTGCCGTCCCTCTCCCACAGGCTGGCCGGTGCACCGTATAGTCCAGGCTCCACTCTATCCAACATGTCATCGGTATTCCGGCCAGGAAGTACGTCCACCGCCTCGGGGAGCTCTTATTACGAGAGTATCCGAAGATCTGGCTCTCCAAACTCGGTATTCGCTGTCAACGACCAGAAATCGTACCTTACCGTTGGCAGTCCCACCAGCGTTGGCACGGTGTACCGGCTTGGAAACAACCCGCAGAGCACCACCCTGATTCTTGGACAGGTGAGTCACCCTCCCAGCTTCTCATTACTCAACGCTCCTGTGAAATACAACTTGTTTTTAAATGTAAGCTCCTACCTACAGTTGAACAAATAGACCGTGACGAAGGGATATACTCGGAATATTCTTGATTTGGTTTATGAATCATAGAATCCCTACAGCGTGGAATCAGGCCGTTCGTCCCATCGAGTGCTCACCGACCCTCTGAACAGCATCCCACCCAGACGCAACCTCCTACCCTGTCCCTGTAACCCTGCATTTCCCATGGCTAACCCACCTGGCCTGCAAATCCCTGGATACTATGAGCAATTTAGCATAGCCAATCCACCTGACCTGCACATCTTTTGACTGTGGGAGGAAACTGGAGCACCCGGAGGAAACCCACGCAGACACGGGGAGAATGTGCAAACTCCCCACAGACAGTCGCCCGAGGGTGGAAACAACATTATGTTTGTAGATTAGTAATTACAAAAGCTTAGGCTATTAGCAGAAAGAACACCTTTGTATTTATCAGGTCAGCACCATGGGATTTTACAACAGTCCTTTTTGAATTTATTACAAGTTAAGATTTGATTGGCAGGAATTTGCAGTCTGCAGATTTACCTGTGTGTGTGTGTGGCATCTATCATTGATGATAATCATAAAAGGCGGTTGAATCTCTCCCAGTTCCAGCTTTCCTCCTGCCCAACCCCTAATACCTAATATTCCTGTCTTCACTCACCCATTTCGCTGTGTCCTAACGCTCCTTCCCATATATCTTCCCCAACTCTTGAACTTCTATTAACCCATTACACTACTCCATCCCACCCACCTCACATAATGTCCCACTTCCAAAATTGACAGGTCACAGGATCTACCAGACTGTTTGAACTATGAGGTAATGGTAATTATGTGGGAAGATATACAGAAGTGGTGGATTTCTCATTTCAGGATCAGTTCAGTGCTCATTTTCACCTGTCAGTCTCCATCTCCATGTGGGAACATGTTTTAAGATTGGGCGTCACTCTCCTTCACCTGTGGGCATTCGTCTGGTTTGGTGAGATTTTCCTCTGCTTACTGATAGTTCCAGAACCTCGAAGTCCCCATCCACTTTCTAAAGTGTGGAGGGCAATAAGAAGTTTGGTCACAATTTTGTCTTAATTGACTGTAAAGCAGTCATACTTCTGGGAGCTCTTAAGGTGGTAATATAACTGTCAGAGTAATGTCCTGGCATAATGACATTATAGAATGTTAAGGGTGCAGAGGTAGATCAATGTTGTCAATCACCTCATGGTATATAAGCAAGAATGGATGACCAAAGGGGTCCAAGGTTCTAGTCCTGGCATCTCCTGTCCCAAGGCCTTAGAAAAAAGATAATCTTTCTATCTATAATAAGCAAATACATTGAAACGTTTAATTTGATTTGGGGGAAAAAAATACTGGCATCAGCTGTGGAAAATGAGCACAGATCAAATGTGAAGGTCTGCACTCAGATCGTTCAACTCTGGAGCACTCATCTCTTTTATTAATTTTTCAGCAGTAAATCCTCAAGTGATGCAAGATTGGTATCTGAATTATCTCACAGCATCAATTTACATTGTTAAATTGTCATGAGTTGTCTGTAATTTCTCCATCCTTTTGGTTTGCAATCCTAATTGAGGGTGAGGACTCATTAAGTCTGTCTATCCAGTTGAGTCAGAGTGTGGGTTGTAACTCCAATTCCAAATTCCCAGTGCTACTTAGTAAAATGTCCAGCTAAGAGTATTCCTGTTAATAGTAAAGTGAGCTATTCTAATTATGTCATATATCTCTGCTTTGCTGTTTTATTCAGTATGGTCTATTTATTGAACCTGATGATTTAGCTTCTCAACTAAATTGGAATAACATATAATTTAACAAAAACATATACTTCAGATGTCACATATTTAAAATAAGAACAAAAAGTGCTGAAGAAATGCAGCAGGCCTGGCAACTCCTGTGGTGACAGAAACAATTAACATTTTGAGTCTAGTATCACCTCTTTGGAACTGAAGAGATAGTTGGAAAAGTGATGGGTTTTCACGCAGGAGCAAATGGAACACAAGGGGTCAGGAGAAGATTTGAGTACGAAGCAAGATTAGAGAATCGCATATGTTACAGAACAGAAAGCAAAGGGAATGGTCATGGTTGTAAAGAAAAACAGAATAGATGTTAATAGTAAGTTTTAATAACAGAATATAGCTGAAAGCAAAACTAAGAAAACCAGACACTGTGGGTAGCAGAGCGGGAAGGCAAGTGAAACAGAATTAAGGACGGAGTTCATGGTCTGAAGGTATTAAATTCGATGTTAAATCCAGGAAATTGTATAATGCCAAAACAGAAAATGAGGTCCTGGTCTTCCAGTTTGCATTCAGCTTTATTGGACCACTGCTGCAGTTCCAGAGCAGAAATGTGACCATGAAAGCAAGATAGTGTACTAAAATGGCAAGCAGCCTAAAGTTCCAGCATCTGCAATTCTTTTGGTTTTTGTTCGGGGTCATAATTATAGATTGAATGGAGATGCTCTGCAAAATGATCTCCCAGTCTGGATTTAGTCTTGACAATGTAGAGGAGACGTGTTGTCAGTGGTAGAGTAGATTGAAAGAACTAGAAATGAATTTGCTACTTTACCTGTGAGGAGTAGTACAAGTACTGTACTTCCTGCGATTTCATGGAAGGTCATGGAAAAGAGGTGAGGTGTCAGGGGTGGACCAGGGTGTCATGAAGGGAGTGATTCCTTTGGAATGCTGACATTGAAGAGGAGGGAGGATGGATTTGGTGGTGGCATCATGTTGGTGGTGGAATGCTAGGAAGCAACCAATGGATTTTACATCTTTTAGTGCTGTGAAATTGTATTGAGTTTGCTTTTGTTTTTGCTCCCAACAGCCCAATATCGGTGTGGCTGAAGATGTGAGGTTGAGCAGAAGGCATGGTGGCACAATGGTCAGCACTGCTGCCTCACAGCACCTGGGACCCGGGTTCAGTTCCAGCCTTGGGTGACTGTGTGGAGTTTGCGCGTTCTTCCTGAATCTGTGTGGGTTTCCTCCAGGTGCTCCACTTTCCTCCTACAGTCTAAGGATGTGTAGGCTAGGTGGAGTGGTCATGCTTAAAACAAAATTGCCGCATAGTGTCCAGGGATGTGCAGGTTTGGTGGGTTAGCAATGGTAAAAAGACCCATGTGGGATTAGGGGTTGGTAGGGTCAAGGTAGGATGCTCTTTGGAATGTTGGTGCAAACTCAGTGGGTTGAGTGGCCTCTTTCTGTACAATAGGGATTCTATAATTCTAGAATGCACTCAAGGAATAGTAGAAAATTCTTGCTTCCTGTTGTCTGTTTCATATACCTCATGTGAGAGGTAAGAGGTACATTAATATAGCATTTGGAATATGTTTAAATAAAAATGACAGGTCATTAGTTCCTTTTGCATTTTCTGTCTAATATGTGGATTAATGGCCAGTTCACAATTTATTTGAAAATTATACTCTAGTTCTGCCCTGTGAAAAGATGCTAGTTTTTCATTTGCTCAGGTGAAATACAGGCATGAAACAAAGTTACACTGAATTTAAACAATGGATTTTGATCAATGAGTGATGACATTTACAATGTCCTGATATGCTTTACCTCCAGCATTTTAAAATTGCTGTAACGTCATCACTTTGAGGGATATACTGTAGCAGATACCTGACTTCCGCTGATTGAGATGGACCTTTGATGGGTGTTTACTGATTTTGACTCCTCTTTTGCCTATCGTAATGTGGTCCGTGCAACTCCTGCACTGCCTTAATTAAAATAAAATGAAGAATTGCAGTTGTTGGGGATCTGTAACAAAAACAGAAATTGATGGTGAAACTCAGCAGGTCGGGCAGCATCTGTGGGGAGAAAGCAGAGGTAATGTTTAGAAGTCCAGTTGAACCTACTTCGGAATTGATTAGGAGTCACTGGACTCGAAACGTTAACTCTGCTTTCTCCCCACAGATGCTGCCAGACCTGCCGAGTTTCTGTAGCACTTTTTCTTTTTGTTCCTGCAGTATCATCTCCTTCTTCCCCTAAATCCAATCTTGCTCTTTTTTTTTTTCTTACTTTCATGATATCTTTTGCAAGTGCCATTTGCGGGTGTTAAATCAGTTTTGTTCCTAGAGACCAGTTTTTATTTCTCCACTATCCGAGCTCTGTTTATTCAGATTGCCCAGGCCTGGCATTAAGTTATGTATGAGTCAGAACTTTCTTTTTAAGGTGTTCACTTTTCAACATTGCCAACTTCTGCCAAAACATCATGTCTAGTGATGTGCAAATACTGCAAATTGATTTGTGGGACACTGTTAAGTTGGTTGGTGCATTTCTCTAGACAAAGTGGTGACTGCTACACTTCAGAAGTTCTTTATTGTCTGAAAAGCACGTTGTGAAATGACAAGAGCATGAAAGGCTATACATAAATGCCGCTGCTTGCTATCTGTTTTGTGAAGTGCCTTCAGACAGTTTATTTTATTGAAGTTGTTCTAAAAATACTTAATACTGTTGGTGGGATCATAAGGATTTAGTAATGGATTAACTAATTAATAAAGATAACAGTTAAGAAATTATTCCAACTGTTTGCTGGCTTATCTGATCAATATTAATTAGAACTTCCAACAAAATAACACTTGCAGAATGGGAGTAACTCGGAGGATTTCAAAGGCCAGCAATTTTTAACATGAAATAAGTACCTCAGATGTATTCAAGGGAATTTAAATGAAGTAATTATCATGTTTTGTGTCAATGGGAAATTTTCAATTGAAGGGTTCCTCTGTGGCAATTCATTTCTGTTCTCTGATACTTGATGAAATGCATTTTTACAAAATGCAAGGTTGTAAAGATTATTTGCTGATGTGGTACTGTTTAAGCACACACTGTAACACTCAAGCAATTCTGGCACTACTTCAAATACTGAAGCAATCTGAGAATTAAAGATGTAAGACTGGTTTCATCTAATTATCTGTGTCGCCATAAAGGTATATCTGAAAATAATTG